CGCACTAAACAAAAGTCTAGCCGCATAGATGAAAATGTCATGTGATTTGTAAAATTATACTTTGTACTTTACGAATTGTACTATTTTTTTTTTATATACCTCTAACAAAATATAATGTGTAATTTTTAAATCACATGGCATTGTAAAATTTTGCATACATCTTATATCTCAAGCACTATGAGGCTAATTTATATTTAGTAATTAGTACGAGTCACACCTCACACCAACAAGGTTGGACTTCTACTTAGAATAAATTAAAGTCAAGCTTCATTTAGACTTCTTTAACATAATGTACCCTTTATAAAAGTTGATTCTTCAACTTTGATAATAATTATATAGTCTAAAATGTGTCAAAAACTTTTATGATCAAACGACATAACTGTGACTCTCATATATTATTCCTTACTTCCAATCAAATTATAATTTATTTCCTTCCTAGTTCCTTATTTCTAACCCCTGTTATAGTCAAAATTGTCATAAACCACTGGGTTGAAAATGTACCATGGACTTACACTACTGCATGGAAACATGTCCCCATATCAATGTTATCGAAGACAATAAATGGCCCATATAGCTCTGGCAAAATAGCATTCAGCCCCACAGCTCCATGTGTGACATGACCAAAAGATGACAACCTAGAGACTCCTCATTTCCTCTCTCTCTGCTAGTCAGTAGCAGTGTGTACATATTTCATATATACATGTATTCACATCCGTATACACCTTAATATATACGGCCATACATACGCATTTCAACTAGGGATGACAATGTGAGGAATGTAGAGCGAGGAGGAGAATGATACATCTTAGCATCTCCCCTCACCCGCCCTATACCCTATAGGTATAAAAAAAAAAAAGGTCAGAATATCATCCTTTATTATCTACATTTTGTAATTTGTATGATTTTACTTTCTGTTGATGTGCATATACAAGTAACTCGTTGTGTGTGAGTACAATATATTGGTATCTCTACTTTTCATGATTTAGTTTTGATTCAGGTTTAGACTTAAAAACATTATTACAATTCAAGCATATATAAGATCGTGTTCGTAACTCTTATCCAAGTTGATCAGACAGTTGACTAGATAATAACAATATTTTAAGTTTGACATCCCGAGAGAGCTGTCTTGGTTTAACTTTTTGTGATCTTTACCGGCTAACAAGGTAAACTCCACTTTAAGTGCACATTCAGATAGTGACTGACGAGTTTTTCCAAAATTTTTAAAGAGAATATAAGCATATGTTTCTTTAATAAGGGCACACTAAATTCATATACTCCGTATTAAAGCTAATATTTTTCATATGGAATAAAACCGCAAAAATAACAAAACACTTCATATTTTGCTTGAAAATAGATGTTAACCACCTCGGTAGAAAGTACAAGGAGTGGGCCCCCAAAAATCCAAATAATGTCCCGTGCTGACTCATCCATAGCCCATAGGATTCTCCTTTGCTTCATTTATTTGCCCTAAGATTTTGCATCGCCAGAGATTCCTCGTGACTGCCGTCCGGCCGACGGACGTGCGGGCGCTGACGCCGTTAGCCCGGACGTTAATGATGACGACATGCAGTCTCACGGGTGGCAGATTTTACTGGTCAAAGGGTAATTACGGAAGTAAATGTTAGCCATAATTTTTTCCATACAGGAGGATTTTGCGTTGAATACGACTGCTCCGTAGTAAATAGTGATGCCTTCCGACAACCTTTTACAGTGAATGTAATAAATATTCTGTAGGTGTCGAAAAGACTATCATTTATTATGGAAAAAAAAAAACAATCCTCTTACTATGTTTTAAGTTCTGCGAACCACTAATAAAAAAGTAAATCATTCTTGAACAATTTTATGTGATAGATTTGATCATAAAAATATTAACAAAATTTAAACTCACAATTTTTTAGTACGATAATTATGTTCTAATTACTAACTTTTTTTTTGAGCTAAACATTTAAAATTTGACCAAGGTAGTGAGGTAGTCCAACAACTTAGGACTTCACAAAATCACAGTTCACGAGCATACATGATTAAAATACAATATTTTGGGTACAGTTCAGAGCTCTATGCCCCTCTTGTTCTTCTAATCCTATTTTTTTGTCAAATTGTTTGGCAAACATTGTCGTTTTAGTATGTTACAAGTCTGTCCAGACTATAAAATGAACAACCTTATTATTTCAAAATATTCTTTTTAGGAACTTGAATCTTTACTAATTTTGACATAGACTTTGTAGTAAAATAATATATATACTCAGTATATTTGACTACAATCTGGTTGGGATAATCATCTATACTCTACAACTATTGTCATGGTTAATTTTGTTTTACTCCATTTGTGCAAGATTTGTTCAAATAGCTAGGCTTATTTTTTAAATTTTATTACTCAAATAAGGCTTCTATACATTTAACGGGATAACCCGGATTCAATTTCCACAAGTGACGATCCCCTTTGGGCCAGCTTCTGCATCTCTCGGAGCGAATCGGGTGGACCTGGACCGTTAAACAGACAGAAAAAGACCCAGACCACAATGTGTGGTTGACACAAAAAAAAAAAAAAAAAAAAAAAAAAAAAAACGTCATGTTAGACATTAGCCGTGTATTATATATACATCTTTGTCACATCATCATTATATTCTTATATATCGTTCTACTTGACAAGGCATGAGTTTCAAGTATTGGAGGAAATTAGCAATTCATTGCCCTCAGTCCCAGACTTTGGCGGAAGCAAGGAAGCGCTATTTTGGCTGTCGATATTTTTATCCTGGTGCAATCAAAGTGGTCTTGTCGATCGAGTAAAGAAAACTCAAGTTTCAATTCTTTAATCTTAAATTAGTGTGTATATATATATATATATATATATATATATATATATATATATATATATATATATATATATATATATATATATATTGTAAGATTTTTAAGTGGTATGGTTGGACTTAATAACTAGTAGTTGTTAGTCAACCAAACTCTGTGCCTAATATAATCCTGAATTGATGGGATACAGGATGATGATGTTAGCACCTACATTCAGTTACGGTACTCAGACTGGTAGATACCAATACACCATCTAGGGTTCTGAGTCAGGTCTGAGGCAAAACATGGCTAACGGTCTACCGTTGATAGGCAACACAACAGGAACATCAACTATGGCTGGAGATCAACACGACTACGCTTCCGCTATCATACGAGGTCAGGTTTCTTGTATACTATGGTTTATTATAGTTAGACTATTTAGATCTAACATATACTATGGTTTCTTGTATACTATGATTTATTATAGTTAGACTATTTAGATCTAACATATATTGGTTATGAGAAAAATCTACATTTATACATGCATTAGGAAACCATACTTTAGTATAATAGTTCATAAATCACATAAAATGGATAAACTATACTAAAAATATTTTGTGCGAATAAACTCAATTGAAATAATATTATTGACAAAAATCAAACACATAATCTTTTAATACGATAATCATGCTTTACATACTCGATCACCCCTTTCAAAACTCTTAAGAACATTGAACTTGCTTGGCCTGGTTTGATGAACTCTGAACTGATAATAATAAAATGTTGAATCTTGTTCTTAATGAACTATAATTACATGTTGAATCTTGGTCTTAACTAACTATAATTACATGTTGAATCTTTGGTGTTAACTAACTATAATTACATGTGGAATCTTTGTCTTAACTAACAACAATATAATTGCGTCGAATACTTTTACTGGTCAAATTATTACACATCATTTTTTTTTAATTTTATTCAATCATTCATTCACATTGTCTTGCCCAGTAAACGCCTATTTATTGAATAAAAAACTTGAACTTTCATAATGACTTCAATTTATATTATAAATTTAAACTCTAAACTTATAGGTTATTCACCCCTTTTTACTGAATACAAATAGTGGAGACAGTCAAAAATTTTATGGTCGAATGGTATAGTTGTTACCCATTAAATGAGAGATTTTAAGTTCAAATTCTAGAGCAAAAATTTAATTTGAAGAAATATATCTACAATTTTATTATTTATATATCAACTTAAGAAAATGGCATAATTGGAGGATATTTTTGGAATGAGTTAATACCCAAAATCGTCCTCGACTATAGTGATTTTTCTCAATTTCGTCCTAAACGACTTTGGCGACCTAATATCGTCCCAGACTTTTGTGTTTCGCTCAATTTAGTCCTCCATTTGTTATTCCGTCAAATTGGTCTTAAATAAAAAGACAATTCAGTAATGTCAATATTGATCTCTCTTTACTTTCAACTTGTGAAGTGCGAAATTCATCTTTCTTGTACGAATTACACCCATAATTACTCCCGGACCTGCAAATCAAATTTTATATTCGCAATTTTAGGAGTAATTCTGAGAGTAATTCATAAAAAAAAAAAAGATTTCGCAGTTCACATGTCTATGAGTAAAGAGATGTCAATATTAAAATTACGAAATTGTCTATTTATTTAACACAAAATGGACAAAATAACAAATGAGGGACTAAATTGAGCAAAAACACAAAAGTCTGGGACTAAATTGAGCGAAACACAAAAGTCTGGGACGATATTAGGTCACCAAAGTCGTTTAGGACGAAATTGAGAAAAACCACTATATTAGGTCACCAAAGTCGTTTAGGATGAAATTGAAAAAAACCACTATAGTCGAGGACGATTTTGGGTATTAACTCTTTTTGGAATTTACTCTGTTGAAAAATGACAACTTATGTCTGCACGATAAAAAAATAGCGCCAATTATTTACGTGCGGAAAAGAAGACTTACCAAAAACGAGGAACGGTAGGAAAGTTTGAAAACCCAAGGGCAAAAAGGGAAATTCACGTCACTCAATGTGGGCCCACACAAAGATGCAAAGAGATCGAGTGGAGCCGATTGCATTTTCTCCACTCTTCCGCTTTCGCTTCGGAGCCTAACCTTTTTCCTCCTTCCTTTTCTACCCTTCCCTCGTGTTCAAAAGCTCTGATCCATAAAGAATATTTAACAAAAATAATGAAAAAAAAAAAGAGAGAGAAAAACGTCTGATTATAGAAAGAGAAAGAGAGACACATCTCTGCATTTTTATTGGATTTTTCGAAGAACCAGAAAAGTTGAACTATAGAGGAGAGAGAGAAAGAGAGAGAGACGTCTGATATTATCACTTCTTCACTCTCATTACCATGAGAAAGTGAGAAACGTTTGTGCTTTGTTCTACCTTTCTTGATTTGAGGTGGTCGGGTGCGTAGGATAAGCAGTGGGTGCGCAGGATAACAATACCCCTGCAGCTTTGTGGAGGTGACTGAGACGACAGAGTGCGCGGTGCTGAGCTTTAAACTGCGCCGGGAAGTTGCATAGTGCCATTGAAGCCCGCTTCTTCAGTGCCTTAGTTTCTTAGTAGAGCTTGAGGGAGTGTTTAATGGTGGGTGCTGCGCATTTTAGCGGTGGGCAGTGGTGGAGGAGGAATGCAGTGGGAATATCTTTGTTCTTGCTGTATTTCTGCGGTGGTTTGATCTCTCTATCTTGCGCCGGCCGGCCGCCGGCGGCCTCCCGGCAGGAGCTTCAGGTTCATAAGCACCTCAAGAGACTAAACAAAGCTCCTGTCAAAAGCATTCAGGTATTATTTTCTTGCTTTAATCTCATTTTTAGTTGAAAAAGTTGCTTTGTTTCTTTGTTTCTTTGTTTTGGTCCCTTATTCATGCAGTATTTTTACTGTTTTCTTAAAGAAAATGGATAGAGCTTAGTAAAAATTTAAGCTTTTTTTTTTTGGACAGAGCCCAGATGGAGACATCATTGACTGTGTACACATCTCCAAACAGCCAGCTTTTGATCATCCATTCCTTAAAGACCACAAAATCCAGGTTCATTCGCCTTTCATTTTAGCTTCATTCTTGCATTTCTTGGTTGTTCATTCCATTATTCTGACAGTTTTTTTTTTTTTTTTTTTTTTTTTTTTTTTTTTTTTTTTTTTTTTTTTTTTGTGCTGGTGTTTTGTTCTCTGAAAATGGTTAGATGAGGCCAAACTACCACCCAGAAGGGCTGTTTGATGTGGAGAAAGAGTCTGTGGGGACTAAAGAAAGAACAAACCCCATCAATCAGTTGTGGCATATGAATGGGAAGTGCCCTGAGGACACCATTCCTGTGAGGAGAACAAAGAGAGAGGATGTGTTGAGGGCAAGCTCTGTGAAGAAGTATGGGAAGAAGAAGCATAGGAGCATTGCTAAGCCCCGGGGCACAGATCCTGACCTTGTCAATGAAAGTGGGCATCAGGTAGTTTTGCTTAGTAGTCTATATTCTTAGTGTTAGTATCAAGCGTTTATCATTATGTTAAAAGTGTTGGGCGTCGGTTGGGTTAGCTGAGTTCAGCCTTGCTCGATTCGAGACGTGGTGCTGTTACTTATTTTAAGTAGGATATGACAACTAGATAGCTAAAGAACTTAGTGGTTAAGCGTGTTTGACTTAGTAGCGAAGGTGTAACTTTATTAGCTGGTTGGTGCCTCATAAGTCCTAGCCATATGGTGCTGGACTTGGTTGTGAAGCCTCGGTCCAACAATTCTCCTAGCACCTGCCAGTCTTAACGGCAGAGCTATAGCTAGTAGCGAATGCCTAACTTTATTTTCTTATACAACCACATTTTCAAGAGACAGGGTGTTGGATTTGGCACTTCAGGCCTCGCACAACAATCTCCTAGCCACATGGTGCTGGACTTGGTTGTGACAAACTAGCTTGCCGCAACAATGTAGTATGTTCATAGTACTGAACATGTTCTGTGATTCACTTGTGGTGTTGTGACAACGAACTTGCTGCAACAATGTAGTTTAATTTGTTCATAGTACTGAACATGTTCTGTTGAGCTTGTTGGGTGGTTGTTCTAATCTTGATTGGTTTTCTGGATGGCCAGCACGCAATAGCTTATGTTGAGGGCGAGAGGTACTATGGAGCAAAGGCCACGATCAACGTTTGGGAGCCCAAAATACAGCGCACAAATGAGTTCAGCTTGTCCCAAATCTGGATACTAGGTGGTTCTTTTGGCCAAGATCTTAACAGCATTGAAGCCGGATGGCAGGTATAATATTGCCCACCAACCTTAAATTTTAAAATAAACCGCACCAAAAACATTGAATTATTAGCTTCTTTATCGAGCCTAATGACACGATTGTTCCAATCTCAGGTCAGCCCGGACCTGTATGGTGACAACAACACTCGGCTGTTCACTTACTGGACCGTAAGCCCCTCTCAAGACGAGTAATTTTTGTTTACTTCAATCGTAAAACGATTGATAAAATTGTACTAATGGCCCTTGAAACCTCTTGCCAGAGCGATGCATATCAGGCCACGGGCTGCTACAATTTGCTGTGCTCGGGCTTCATTCAAGTCAACAGTGAAATCGCGATGGGGGCAAGCATCTCTCCCGTGTCTGCCTACAGAAATTCACAGTACGATATCAGTATTCTTATCTGGAAGGTAAAAACAAAGATTATATTTACCTTATAGGCAGACTGTTTATTATTTAATCAAATGTGACTGGATTTACTGCACTGTGAATCATAACCACCACCCTGGAACCCTTAAAAAGTCTGTAGATTAGTTGAAATTGTTGAGCATATAACCATTAATGTGCAATCCAACTATCAGCTTAGGCTTTTAGTTGATATGGAGCACATGCTTCAATTTGGTATCAGAGCCCCCATAAGCGACTACAGTCCCATTAATGTGCAATTGAAATACCTTAGCAGAATGTTTATTTAACCGAAATGCAGAAAGTGGTTATACACTTTAACTGCACTGCTGAATCATTATTTGCGTCTTTAGTGTCTGAAATCCTTGAAAGCCATTGCTTTTTCCACAGCCCGAGATAGTGAAAAGAGTTGAAAATCACACTTGTTTAACCATGTAGGATCCGAAAGAAGGGAACTGGTGGATGCAGTTTGGGAACGATTACGTTCTTGGGTACTGGCCCTCGTTCTTGTTCTCGTACTTGGGAGACAGTGCTTCGATGATAGAGTGGGGCGGGGAGGTGGTGAACTCGCAGCCAGACGGGAGGCACACCAACACGCAAATGGGGAGTGGGCATTTCCCCGAGGAAGGGTTCGGGAAGGCGGGTTACTTTAGGAACATCCAAGTAGTTGACAGCTCAAACAACCTTAAATCCCCCAAAGGGCTTGGCACCTTCACAGAGGAGTCTAACTGCTATGATGTCCAGACAGGCAGCAATGGGGATTGGGGCCATTACTTCTACTTTGGAGGCCCTGGGAGGAACTCTAATTGCCCATGAAAAGGTGACACAAAAAGTACAGAAATATCCCCATCTCAACCAATCTGTACCATTCACTCTAGTCTAGCTAATACCCTTTTCTCTTTTGGCTTGAGATTTAGTGGTTAATGTGAACATGTTCTTCTCCCTCGAGTAGTGATTGCGGGTTTTCCTCGTCACTCGGGAGAAGAGAGTGAACATGTTCTGTAGTGTGTGTGTGTGTGAAGTTTTGACCTTTCTGCTTCTTTTGTGCTTTGAAAGGTTTAATTTGCCATGTTTCTTGAAAGCTCAAAGAAAGTGGCAAAAGTCTTTTTTTTTTTTTTTTTTTTTTTTTTTTTTTTTTTTTTGGGTTGTAAAAAGTACTCCATTCTTGGGAGTATTTTGTTTACTATAATGGATGGAAGAAGATGCCCTTTGGTGTATGTAAAGTTGTGGTGCATATTGTAGCTGCCTTTCAAATCACATAATTATCTTAGATTCACAAGATCACATGATTATAATTCAATGGTTTTATTATTATTATTATTATATTGTTGTTACAAGTTATAAATCTAGGACTCTTTCTCAATTTTTAAAAGTATGATCTTTTAATTTTTAATTAACTAGTAATTTTTTTTTTTTTTTTTTTGAATGCTACTAGCTCTATTACATTGTAGTATCTGTTCATATACTTTCTCAACCTACTGAAACACAAAGAGCTAATAACGCCTCCACTGAAGCTCGAACTTACAACCTTCCAAATGGAAGTCCAACCCGGATACCATTAGACCACATAGTAAATTAATTTCTCATCTAATTGAAAGTTTCAGATGTTTACTCGCTCCTTGTCAATTGAGAGAATGTTGGTAAAAATTAAACTTGTGATTTTTATGTACGAGAATATTTGTGCTCCGCCTACTTGACAAATCCCCACTATGAGTATTAATACACTTTTTTTTTTCTGGCATGTGACAATGGAAATGTCAATTATTTGAGAATGTGTATTGGATAAATTATACTCGTGTAATTGTCCATAAACTATACAAGATAGATAAATCCCATATGACATAATCGACCAAGAAGATGCAAGCAAGAATCAAACTTGTGAATTTGTAACCTTTAAGTATAAGAATCATATTCTTCCAACTTGGTTACCCTTTTGGTACATTATTACACATTTTTTTTTGGTGACGTGAAAAACTCATAACCATTATCTGAGGGTGTGCACATGATAAATCTCATTTTGTGATTTTAGCCAACAAAGGGCCACAAAGAAGTAAACCAACCTAGATTACTTATAGCTGATCAATTCCCAACTCAAAGCAAAAAGGCTAATAGATTGCTTTTATTAAGAGTCAAATTTAAAATTTTATGGTTACCAAGCCAACAGTCCAATCCCTCGAGTTGTCCAATTATTACATAAAATTTTAACACTTTGGATGGTAGCTTAGTGGTGCCAGGCTGGGTTTTAAGTAATTTTACCCTTTCTAGTGGTGTGTTTGGTCTTGGCTCAAGAACTGTGCATGTATTGATAATGGGAAATGGGATGGGATCTCCAGCAGTGTCATGTGAGTGGAAGACACAAAGCTTTTATTACATTTGGCCCATCCCTTCATTTATTTTATTTTATTTTATTCTATTTTGGGGGGAAAAGGCAAACCCCACATACACCACCATGTTATGCTGTCCCAAAATTAAAGATTTTTGGATTCCATTTGAATGTTATTGAATTTTTCTATTTAAAAGAGCATGTGGAGGTGCCCCTTTATGTGATTTTTTTTTTTTTTTTTTTTTTTTTTTTTTTTTTTTTTTTACAAAATGAGATAAAGTTTCATTTATACTCCCCACCGTGCACATTCATGTAATTGAATTAACATTTTAATATTATGTGTGAATAAATGTGGTGAATATTTTGTTTGGAAAGCAGAAAAATGACTTAAATAATTATTTTTCAGAAAATATTTTTATTTCCGGTGTTTGGTTGCGTTCTGAAAAATATAAGAATGGATGGAAACTGAGGAACCGAAGATAACGATGACAACAAAGACTACCATGTTTTGAGTGTTGGCGGAAATTGACTTAGGCCAAAATTTGGCATGAGTCATTTTCTGTAAAAATGCCTACACTTTCACCAGTCAACGAAAAACATTTTCCGTTGACTGAATTTTTCTACTGCATCGAAACACTGAAAACTCGGAAAACATTTTCCAGAAGTTATTTTCCGAGTTTTCAAACGGACCCAAGTTTGGTCCAAACCATCAAGGCCCAATGCAGAAAAGTTGGAAAGAAAAACTTGGGAATGAATTGATAATAAGCATTTATTTTGTCTCTCATTGTTGTGCCATTTTATGCAGTAAATTAATGTTGAGGTCTTGAGGAAGATGAAGAAATTTATAGTTCCTGTAAACATTTTTGAAACGACAAACCAAGTCAATTGTGTCGATGTCTTGTGTCTCGGATCAACGATACTTGGAAGCATCGAATCACTTCTTTAAGGTAATAAGAACCTATGTGAGACAAAATTAATTGATGTTATTTATGGATCTCTTGAGTCGAATTTTGTGTCTTGAAAAATTATCATAAAATGATACGGAGTATTTAAGTGGTTATTTTGACTTTTAAGGTTTTATTTTGAGTGGATCAATTTTTTATTTGAATCAAGTTAATATATATTTAGATTCTCTTAATTGATATAATTAATTTGATATATTATAGACTTAAATGGATAATAAATGAATAAAAAATTAATTATCAAAATGTACACATGAAGTTGGAAAAATAGAGTTTTTGAAAGGCTGTTAAGTACTACATTAGAAAAGTAAGTGAGTTTACATTTATATAAATACACCTTTGACGTGTTTAATTCTTGTATGCCTCATTCAAAGCGTATTTTGTCTGACCGAAAAGTATGGAGTCAAAGTCGGGTAGGTAAATTTTTGGAAGTCCCTCTCTTCAGCAATAAACGACGTGTTTAATTCCTGTATGCCTCAATCAAAGCGTATTTTCTCTGACCGAGAAGTATGGAGGCAAAGTGGGGTAGGTAAGTTTTCGGAAGTCCCTCTCTTCAGCAACAAATGTACCTTATATATGCGAGCCTGGAGATACATGCTGAAGATCTGTCATGTCCCCCATGTAGTGGATGTAGGTTAACCGGTCAGGGAGGCATTGCCAAGTGTTTAATCTAAAGAAAAAAAAAAAGGTAGACATGACGTAATTAGGCAGTGTGTCAAGGGCTTCATAATCGGAGAAACTGGTAGAAAAGCAATTGACTTTCTTAGTCTAGTAGGTGATTGAACGTCTCAATTAGTCTAACCAGGTGATTAGAAAGTCTCGACGATTACATAGTTATACCAATGAAGAACCGGTACGGTTGGTACTGATCGGCCAATTAGCAAACCCGGTCGGGCGTATATGCATTATCACATCTCTCAACTGCAAGGTATGCTATTTGACCCAACTCTACTGATTTGACTAAAACATCTGATCTACTAATTGACCAAGGTCAATTGAAGTGTGTGTTGCACACGCTTTGGTTAACCATTTTTCAAAAGAACTCCATACCGCAAATTTGAGAAAATTAAAATTTGTAATTTTTTTTTTTTACAATATGAACTTTTTTTTTTTTTTTTTTTTTTTTTTTTATAAAATTTGAAATTAAAATCCCCTAAAAAATTTGATTAGGTAAGAGGATTAACCCAAGACTTGTGACAATAATATTTTCTTTAAATCCAATTTACTTTCTTCCAAGCTTGTTAGAAGAATTAAGAGTCAATTATTCAAGATACACAATCAGTTACAACAATTTATTCCGTACTCAAATAAACTTCTCAAAAATCTTGAATAAAAGTAGAATGCTCTAAGTTTGAAATTTGCATTTTTTGAAATTAAGATAAATAGTGTTTTTATAAATTCTCTAGTTATTTACATACTGTTATATATATCATTATTATTATTATTATTTTTTGGTGAATGTTATATATATCATTATTAATGTCTCTCAAGTTATATATGTTTTTGGTTCCATTAAAAACTTTGCACATCTTAAAGGGTCTTTATTGAAGTTGAGTGAGTGTGTATATATATCCAAAAACGAAGGAGATATCGAGAGACACAACTGTTATAACGACATTTTTAAAGGTAAAATTTGCTTCACCATTAGATTGTAATATTTACAAATGTTACAATCTTATTTCTCAAAAAGATATGGAATGATAGTGTTGGACTGTTCGCATGTCGCATGATTACATCATATGAATTGAAGGCTCCCATGAAGGCCAGTGGGTCTAATTTTGATTAGATACACAAAATTAGGATTTTTTGTTTTGGATGAAGGAAATTCATAATCATAATTTCAAGGTGTGCACTAGATAAATTTACTCATATATAATAAGAGGTAAATTGTATAAAGTTTAATGGGTCAGTATCGATTAAGAGAGTATTAACAAGAATCGAAATCATAATCTTTTTATATAAGAATCATATTCCATTCACTCGATTACTCATTCTAGGCCAGATTTCTTGTTTTAGCATAGGGATTGAGGGCAAATTATATTGTGGACTGTGGTCCACAATGCATTGTGGTCCATACATTAAATATACATTGCAGTTTCATTTCAATATAATTACAGCATCATTTTGATATAACTACAGTTTCGTTAGACAATATACACTCAAATATGTGATAATATAAAAATGAGACAGTGTCAATTTAGATACACTATAGTGTCTGCCATTTTAGACCATGGTCCACAGTATAATTGCTGGGGATTGAGTCAATAGTTATGCTGTGCAACCAAATGCACCATGCGCATGGTGCATACGATGCAAAATGACGTCGTTTTGACTAAAAACGCGCGTCCCACTTAAAAAAAATCAGGTTCGATTCTGGGCAATAGCATTATTGTGGATGTATAGTTATGAATTTGTGGATATATAGTTATGAATTTATGGATATTTAGTTCATTCATTGTGGATATTTAGTTCATTCATTCACTGTGGATATATAGTTATGAATTTGTGAATATATAGTTATGAATTTATGGATACATAGTTATGAATTTATGGATATATAAAAATGCTATTGCATGGAATCGAACCTGATTTCTTTTTATAAGTGGGACGCCCGTTTTTTTTAACCAAAACGACGTCATTTTGCATCGTATGCACCATGCGCATGGTGCATTCGGTTGCACACCATAATTTGCGGGATTGAGTGTGTTGGGCTAATGGGCCTAGTGAAATAATTGGGTCCCATCTCTCAATACATAATGCCTTGGACTCATCTGGAATTCTGGAGTGGTTGGACCATTTGGCAAAATTTGTGAATGAATTATGATTATAATTTATAATGTTTGGATTTTTTTTTAATGTCTTTTACTAGATTATTATTACATTTTCTCTTGTGTTTTTAATGTCCCGGTTGATGAAATATTTTTAAAAAGAAAAAATCCAACAAATCATAAATAAAAAGCATAAAAATAGAGTAAAATTTATTAACTATGTAAAAGTATTTTTCAAAATAAAATAAAAGGCATAATTAATTTCTTCACCCAAAAGGTTGAATCCCCAACCCCAAAGATCTCCCGAAGCCCCGACACTCCGGTCCAACAGAACATTTGGAAGGATGTAAGTCACGGACAGGGCCAGGGCCAAATGCTGGTGCACCACTCCGGTCCAACCGAGCATTTTGAAAGAATGTAAGTCATGAATAGGGTCAAATGCTGGTGCACATAAGGAATCTGACCACTTTGCTCATAATCCCCACAGCCGTTTGGTCTCCTCTGATATCTTCTCCCAAATACTGCCAACTGAACTAATGAACTAAGCTCGTGCGAGGAATCATTAATTTTAGATACCTAACGGAAGAGAACAATATTCACTCCGGTCAGTATATATTATACTGCAACCACCGCGGACAGGTGGTGGTGGGTTAGGTGGCGGCTGTCCTAATAATAAATATAAATGTCCGGCCGCCATTAAGGTAAACCAGAAACCAAACATTGGCATTAAAGTAGGGAAGAAACATCCTTGGACTGGTGTCATACAATTGAACATGTATCAAATTTCACAAAGAAAAATGCTCAAGACCCCATCAATACGAAGACCCATTCAAAACTTTCTTCTATTACTTTGCCACTTCTACAAGCCACCAAAATGGCAAAATTACATCTCAAAAATCAATCCCCACTAGCCTTCTTCCATATCCTATTCTGAATCACTCTCCATGCTTCCCATGGCCTTCAACCCTCTCGGTTTCTGGACAATCACAAAGCGTTCAATAAGCGTTAAACATATATTGAACGAAATATAAATGTGCAGTATCACTATCAATTTAAACAAATTCTTGCTCATAATCTACCATCCAGGAACTGCCCATGTGGGCCCTGACAAGGTGGGCTCCTTGTGGGCACCTGGCACTAGTCCTCCCACCTAATGGGCACCGTGATTTACCCCTCCACTGTCCTATTGGACTAGGGCGTGGGGCCCTAAGAGCGAGAGAATTTCGCCTTTTGTTGGCAATGTTTTAGTTGAAACGGGACATGTCATTTAATTTGGTATCAGAGTTAGGTGAAAGGTTGTAATGGTTTAGTACCTTCTTGGAAGTCTTCTTTTCCCTGACCTCGTACCTCTCCTGGCACAGATCGGACAACCATGTACCTGGACTGACCAACTGCACGAGAAAGGAATGCCGGGGTGTTTGTTTTAGAGAGATAGTTTGCGGAAATTAAGGTGGTGCAAAACCGAGTGAAAGCGTGTTTTTTCTTGACCAAATGAGTTTGGAAACTTACGAGAATGGTTCGCTGAATCAGCTTGGCCCTCTTCTTAGGCCTCTGAGGAAGTTTGGTGCCTTTCATGGCCAGAAAATCTTCCTCCTTTTCTTTACTAGATAACGTGACGAGTAGTTTAGGCCAAACGAACTTTTTCTTCTCCTCCTTCGAATTCGCGAGCAACTTGCTGTGATCGTCCAATCCTACCGACCCTCTCGTCGTGTAATACCGATCCTCTTTCTCCGGAGAAGAAGTTGTCGCCTTTCTACTCTCGTGTGCACTAGATCTGGTTGTCGTGGCCAATTCCCTAAAATGTGCAGTACCAATTACAATTTCAATCAAAATTTTCATATTTAGAATCACACAAAATTTCTTTCCACAGCCTAATCTGCGGGGAAAAGTAGGAACAACAACAACAAAACAGGCACATAAAACACCAAATCCAAAACGACAAACAATTCTCGGGATTAATCAGAACTAAGAAACTACAGATATTATTCGTTTCCAGAATCAAACAATGGCATTTGAAACGGTCTGAATAATTGCACGAAAGGCAAAGGGGTATCAAATCCATTCTTCAGATAGCTTAGACGAGTTACATGTACTTCACATTAGCATTTGATCCTTTTGGTATCTTCATTAAAACGCGGAGAAAAGATTTACAGAAATTTTTTTTTAACCATTGTTTTCACTTTCTCAAAGAAACCGCCAGGTAAAAGAGCAGAAGAAATACAGATCCAAGTAAGCGTTTATCGAATAGTTCAATTAAAACTGAAACTACACCATCCAAGAGCTCACAAATGGTCAAAATCCAAAATCAACATTCAAGACTGAATCTTTTTGACAAAAAGTTGCAGTTAACATAAACCTGAAACTACCCAAACATAAATCTCATCAAAATTAAGGATACAAATTAAAGGTGCAATTGAATCATTAAATTTCTGGAAAATTACCTGTGGGAACGAAGAGGAGAAGCAATGGCTGGAGGGGTACGAGTCTCTTTGTTATTATCAACTCCAGATGTGATTTTCCTCTTCACCAAACCCCCATCTGATTTCCCATTAGAACCAGACTCCTTTACCTTCATGCATCTTAGCCTTTTCCTATTCCCCCACTGTAAATTATCCATACCCACTCCTCAAAACCCCCCCTCCCCCCTTCTATGTATCTATCTATATATGTATATACCTGAAAGGTCAAGAATTTACAGGTCACTTTTGAGATTAGGCAATACAATTAAGAACAAAATATGAAAGAATCAGCACTAACACATACCAAGAGATCTGTGGAGAATACTTCAGAAGATTTCCAATCTGGGCTGCATTAAAAAAAGTAAACGAAATTAACACTGACCCATTGTTATAATTCAAATTGAGAGATGAAATGAAGAGAAAAAACATGGAAAAGTGGGCATTACAATAAGAGAAAAGGGCAGTGAGAGAGGTTTGTGTTGAAGCAGGCAAATCCCAATAAAAGATTGGATTTTTATGTAAACAGAGAAAACAAAGAACTTTTTCTTTCTCTCTTGAAATCAGAAAGCAGGCTGGAAGTTTCTTTGAAATTAAGAAGAAGAAGAAGATGATGATGATGATATATTCATAGTAACATGTTTGATGTTTCTTTTCTCCTCACTCCTCAGACCCCTCTCTTCTATTCTTTTCTCTCTTCTATTCTTTTCTTGTTCCTCTACGCTCTCCGTTTATTTGGTTTATTTATTATTTAAAGAATCAACTCCAACTGAAAATCTGTGGATAAATCCAAATTATTTATAGGGAAAATGACACTTTTTTTCTTTGTGTTGTTCACTAATAGTACATTTTTCCTCTGTGCTGTTTATGTAATCACTTTATCTCCTCAATTGTTTTTTAAGTGGCTATTTTCTCCCCTTTCCATTAAATAAGTGTTAGGGATGTTAAATATGAGGGTAAAAATAGAATTTCATTATTATTATTATTATTATTAATGAATTTGTAACTGTGCATTTTAGATGTGGAATACTGCAGTATATTAGGGCGTTGGGTGGGACTTATTATTATTATTATTATTATTATTATTATTATTATTATTAGCAATGAATTTGGTTTGCAAACTGCAGTATATTAGGGCGTTGGGTGGGGCCGTTCATTAATAATAATAATAATAATAATAATAAGTAAAATGTCATTTTTACTCTCATATTTAACAACCCTAACACTTACTTAACGGAGAGGGGGGAAAATAGTCACTTCAAAAACAATTTAGGCCTTGAGGGGGATAAAGTGGTTACATAAACAACACAGGTGGAAAATGTGCTATTAGTAAACAACACGGGGAGGAAAAAATGCAATTTTCCCTTATATATATAATAGATCTAAAAATTGAAAAATGAATAAAATTTTAAAATATTTATGAAAATGGTCTCGCTCATTTTAAAAATTTATAATAGAGTTAATTCCATTAATGGTCTTCCGACTATAGTGATTTTTCAAAATTAGTCCCCGACTTTAATTTAGACATTTTAAGTCCCTTGACTTTTAATTTTTTTTCAATTAAAACATGGTGCATACAGATGCACAGCATAGCGATTGGTTATTTATTTATCTATTTATAATTATAATTGTTATTTTATTTATTTTGATTTTTATTGAAGGGTTTGAATAGTTGTTTTGAAAGTGGGCTGGCCCACGGGATTAAGACATACGTCTCGTTTGAAACCTTAACGTTGAAAAGTGAAAACTTCTTTGCCGTTCCATTTTTCTTTCCTTCCCTGCTTTATTGCTGCCACCTCTCTTCTCTCTCTCCGCCACTCCTTCCTTTTTTTTTTTTTTTTTTTTTTGAAAAAATAATCCTTCATTAAAAAAAACTTAAGCCCCAAAACTCTTATGACCAAATAGATGATCAGATGAATGAAACAAGATTCTCATACTAGAATGTCATGAGTTTGATTCTTGTTAACATCATTTTTGTTGCGTTATTCACACGGTCTTTTTAGAGCAATTTACCTTTCATGTGTTACTTTAAGCTATTACAAATGAGATGGATTTACTCCGTGCACAACCTTAAGTAGTAACTACAAGCTTCCTTTGTTATTAAAAAAAAAAAAAAAAAAAAAAAAAAAAAAAAAAAACTCCACCCTTAGAAGCAAAACGTAACCCATAAAAGACGATCAACCGTAAAAAAAATTGTTTTCTCATATATTAAGGGTGATATTATCAATTTTTTTTTTAAAACTCAAATTCAATAAATCAAACTCATGGTATTCAAAAAAAAAAATTTTTATTTATTTATTTTTAAACTAAATTTGTATAGTTGAATAACATAACTGATATCACCCATTGACCCTTATCGCTCTCGTTGTCGCCTTTTCATCTCCATCCCCCAGGCCCTAACATTCGTTGCCTTCTCTAGATTCGGAAGAAGGCAAAATAGATACTAAGTTGTATTAACTCTTTACTTTCTGCATCTCGACTCTAGATATCAAATAGTAACATTGTATTATAACTAATTTAAAATTAAACAACAATCAAATTGTATTTAAAAATGTGTCGTGAATCTTGAATGCAAGATATATCTTAAACTTCTACTTGAGTTTAAAATAAATATTACCGGACCAATTAATTAAGTTATTTAATGAAAATAAATAACGAAATAAAAGGCATAAAAAATAAATCAAGTACATTGGAATTGATCACGCAGTTCGGAGCACTTCTCCTCCGTCTGCTCAATCCACTAGATGTTCACCGAGGTATTTTACAAGGGGTAGTACATAAGGCGATCAACCACTACTACCACTACAACCTTCATAACATCACGCATAGGATTAGTACGTGCATGCCGTGACAATCTTCAAAAGATGCTTTAGCTGACCCAGATACAAACATTGTAGCTTAGTTGAAATCCCACATAAAATATTGTAATACCACAATATTAAGAATATATCAATGTTTAGACTTTCCTTTCTCTCAAATTGGCATTTCTCAATTCGTCACTTTCCATAATGAGAAGCCTTCCTTTTATAACAATATTTACTTCAAGCAGCTTGATCCACGTTAATAGCTTGTCATTTGATTTGAAGAACCATAGCCACTCATTTAATTCAGAAGTCCTCATAGTAAGCATCCACCAAATAAAGTTCTGCTGACTTTCCTTTCACATATAACCACTCATTATGACCCAAACAATTAAATACCTTATGATAAGAAATGATCCAAAGAGCTTAGCCTAACTTAAATCTATTTAAAATAAAATAAAATAAATTTACCAACATAAATTTTAATGTGTACTAACTTTGTACACTTACAGAGTTACAGTATTCCATGACAAATGATTTAAACTTGTAATATTGTTTAAGAGAAAGCCAACGACTAAGATTCACTATAATAATAATGATTGTGACTTGTGAGTGAAGGGATATATAAGGGCACATTAGCCATAGATGGCTTTCAACATTCAAGTGGGCTTTGAGGGGTCATCAAAACTTGGAGAAAAGCATGATTGGTAGTAATTCGCAAATTAAATGATCCACATATGACATATGGTGATTGCTAATAATTATATTAGTTTAGAATTGGGCCTCCACAAATGGAAATGGGCTGGCTTGATAAGTGAACAAACATTTCAAAAAAAACGAAAATTGCACCAGCCGGGAATCGAACCCGGGTCTGTACCGTGGCAGGGTACTATTCTACCACTAGACCACTGGTGCTTCGTTGGTTTGAGGCATCTTTAAATGTAACTAATCAATAACAGTATATAATTAACTGAAATAATTCCACTTAACTATTAACCGAATTAATTCTGTTAGGGTGTGTTTGGTTCATGAGTTAACACATTAGGAATGAGAATCAAAATCATAATTAGTGTTTGATTGACAATTTTTTAAAACACGACAATGGGATTTGATTACTCCTTCAAATTAAAAACTCAATTTCCTAATAAAAAAATGTTTCATTCCATTTTATTGGTAATATGATTTTTATGTTTAGATTAGTGCTTTTAGATTTTGTTTTGATTTTTTTTTTTTAATATTAGTGCTTTGGATGTCATTATATTAGGGGATCAATTGTTTTGATTTTTTATTTTATTTTTATTTTAAAAATCTTTATTCCTATTATAGGGTCATAAGTAACCAAACATCAATATTGATAATCAATCCAATTCTACCCTACTACCAAACATGCAAAATACTTTCACTCCAAAATCATATTATTATCAAGTATTTTATTCCCATTTCGATTCCGATTTTTATGTGCAAACCAAACACACCCTTAATTTAGTCGGAAATCTTTTTTTTTTTTTGGTTAATTGTTAATTACTTTTAAATATTTTGGTTATTAATTAATTTTGCTAAAAGAATTGAAATTAACCGAAATAATTGAATTTGTAATAAATAAATATCTTTTATTTTTATGGAATATATTAAATATATTATAGAAATAAAATGTTGGTTAATCTGGCCAGTTTGATTAATTCGGTGGATTGTGTTTCGAATTCGTAGAACGATTTTATCAAAATAAAAATGCGATTTGAAATGAAACATATAAACACTCTTAGATATGTGTAAGACAAATAATAGAAATGATTAGAATTGCATGAAGATAATTAGATTTTTCAACTTATTGTCCATGCATTGCATAGGTAAATACTAGTAATAAATAAATAGAGATGAATTGTGATAATTTTATAAATAAAATGATAAGTGATGGACTCCATGTGTAGCATATCACCAACGGCTCTCATCACAATAGATGGAAGCTTCTTTAATTTTTGGGAAACAAAATATTTTCTCAGTAATATTACCATTTGTATTCCTTAAATCTTGCATGTACATATCTTGCAGATTGCTTTTCCTGTATATTTATATTCCTTCATTCACTTATTTCTACAGTAGAATACAATATGCAATAAAACAAAATCTGTTTCTTTTTCATCTTCCTCACCTTTTCTGTCTCGTCTCCTTTTCTTCATGGCATCAGAGCCTCCATCGCCAAAGTCTGATCTAGGAAAGACATCGGCAGATAGACAAACGAAAAGAAGGACAGTCGACAACAAAAGGAGGTTGGAATGATGATTGATCCAATGTCACCCTATTACCTACATGCATCGGATGCTCCTGGACAAGTTTACGTTGCAGAGTTATTACGAGATGGAAATTATGGTGAATGGGTGAATGATATGCGTGATGCATTGTTTGCAAAGAATAAAATGAGTTTTGTGGATGGAGCTCTTGTTATGCCAACGCCAGATTCACCATATCTTCAGCAATGGATGCGGTGTAATGCAATGGTCAAAGGTTGGCTTAAAAGCGCCATGGACAAGGATATTCGTGGTAGCGTTAGATTTGCTACCAATGCTAGAGATATATGGCGTGATCTAGAAGAGAGGTTTGGCAAATAAAGTGCGCCGAGGGCCTTCGAAATTAGACCGGCAGTAACACTTCTCCGCCATGATAAAGCTATTGTTTCATCCTATTATACCAAGATTAAAAGCTTGTGGGATGAGATGAATTGCACAGCACCTTTGCCCATGTGTAACTGTCAAGGTTGCAAGTGCAATTTAACAAAGAAATATGCAGAATTGCGTGAAAAGGAGCAACTCTATGATTTTCTTATGGGTCTTGACGAAGAGTTTAATACAGTGAAGAGTCAAATTCTTGGTACGAGGCCCATACCAAGCCTTGGTGTTGCTTATCACATGG